ATCCTCTCAGGGCACACCAGTGTGCTGCAGCACGATGGTTGAATCTAGAAGCTCAATTACCCCTACATTTCTAGCCCAGAGGTATCTCTTGAGGTCCATACCCTCATTTTCAGCTTCCTCCAAGGTGACCTACAGACACTCCTTACCTTAAAAACTTAACTTGCCCAAAGTCAACTGGACCTTCCCCTTCTGTTATCAGAAAACAGCAACACTGTTTCCTAAATCAGCAAACAGCAACATTGTTTTTCTCTGCTCACAAGATAGAAACTGTGGAATAATCTCTATTTGAAGCTTCAATAAATCCTGATGGTGCCCTTGGAAACATCACCTTAGCTGTGCTATGTTCTCGTCTCTCTCCACATCCTGGTATTGCCCTTGCCCAGGGCTTTTTCATCTCTGAAGACTCTAGCAATAACTTCCTCATCGACCTCCCTGACATAGGACTCATCACCCACATTGCCAGCAGGGAGCTTCCTGGAAGGTGGGCTGGTCACCCATTGACTCCTGGCAGACCACATAGAACTCCTTTGAGATAGGAGTATAACCTTGAACAAGGTGAGATCCTGCCTGTAAGGGGCTCCCAGGCTGAAGGCAGGCACTGAGCAAGTAATTGCTGTAGCTGGAGATGTGGTGATGCGGAATGCATAGAATATGATGGGAGCACTAATAAGGATGATTTGCTGTAGGGGAGGACCAGAGGAGACCACCTGAAAGAGGAAAGGGCACAGATTGGAGCAGGAGCTAGACAAGCCCAAAGTCTATGTGGGGTGGAAGGTGGGGAAGGAGAAATAGCCCAAGATGAAGGAACAGAATTTCAGGAGGTCCCAAAGTAAGAGAGCGCAAGACCCAATCCAGAGACTGAGAAGAGCCCAGGGACTGGGAAGAGGAAGAGACAAGGCCAGAGCTGTCTCAGAGTTCTCTTCTCTCTTTCTAAGACCCCATTTTAAAGTATATTCCTTTTTGCGAAAATGCAAAAAAGAAGAAGAGGAGGTATCCACAGATAAAGAATTTCAATAAATTTCTAGTAGACAAAAAGTGGAAGGAGGCGTGTTCATGGGTAAAGCTGAATGGTTGAGGTCCAGAACCCTTGGGGGCTGGGGGCCTGTATCTACCTTCAGATCCCCTCTAGGCTCTGGACTCACAGACCACAGAGGCCAGGAGACCTGGCATCAGAATAGGAGCTAAGGGCAGTGCCTGTGGCTCAGTGGGCAGGGCGCCGGCCCCAGCCAAACTGCAACAAAAAAAATAGCCGGGCATTGTGGTGGGAACCTGTAGTCCCAGCTACTTGGGAGGCTGAGGCAAGAGAACTGCCTAAGCCCAGGAGTTGGAGGTTGCTGTGAGCTGTGTAACGCCACGGTACTCTACCGAGGGCAATAAAGTGAGACTCTGTCTCTACAGAAAAAAAAAAAAAAAAGAACAGGAGCTAAAAGCTAGGAGCTAATTGGCCACTTGCATATTGAATATTTCCTACCATCCATCTCCCCAACCAAGTGTGCATCAGGGTTAATTTTAAAAGACCCACACCTAGACATGTCATAGTGAGACTTCTGAACTGTAAAGATAAACAGAAGGTCCTAAAAGCTCCCTTAAATTAAAAAAAAAAAAAAGCAAGCCACATAAAAGGAAAACAAAACTGAGAATGGCATTAAATTTCCCATTAGCAGGCGGCGCCTGTGGCTCAGCGAGTA